AGGAACAGGTGCCTTACTAGTAGTAACAAGGTTCGCTACTAGGAACAAAGGGCATTTCTACTAGGAACAAGGGATTCTAGAATCTATGAGCAACCTGTGAATATCCACCGACTCTGGTAGGTTGGATAACATTTCGGATGATTGGTGCAAGATGACATCAGTTTCACCAAATGCTATTCACTGGAGCTACTAGTGTGTCCTTGCTCCTAGTAGCGATGCCCTTTGTTCCTATTAGCTTCTTGTTACTAGTAGTAATGCCAGGAGCTACTAGTAGCGTCCTTGCTCCTAGTATTCACTAAGTCTTGAAGAGAGGAAGGTCTCGCGCTTTTCCAAGGCATGTGTTTCCTACCACGTAAATCTTGTGATCGATCTGAGTTGACGTGGGAGTCGCCATCACTCCTGTTTGCAACCTCATTGAAAATGAGTCTGGTGTTGGCCTATGTTTGTTTACTTGAACTCAAAGGACATGTGCGGCAATTGACATACCCCACAATAACAAATATTACACCTTAGTTGTCATTCTCAACAACTTTGGGATGAATGTTCACTCATGTTCATTCCCTTCAGGTGACCTAAAGCAAGCCTGCTGTGGATTCGGATTGTGTTTCCAGTCATTTCCCGAAGTCAAACTGGGGGTCCCAGACGTATCTTCCCTCAGCTGCGTTCTTGCGCCCACCTTGGCACCGTTCCGCAAAAGCTCCTCCATGACCTGACGTTGGTGGTTGTGACGCGTGAGCTCCACTACAAGAAAAATAAGTAATAATCCACCCTTGGTAAAGCAACTGAGCATAGCCAACGAAATGATCCCAATTTGAATGAATGGACATATCTTGGAGATGCTGAAGATCGTGACACGTCTGTTTATATCAGTCCTAGTTCTTCCGCCCCACCAAAAGGTCCAGTCTTCGTCGACTTGGAGAGCTCTGAATTTAACTCCTCTCTAGACTTTAAAGGCCTTCATGCCAGGGTGTCTTTCAGCACGTCCTTTTTTCAGAATGTTTCCTGTTTCCAAAATTAGTACAATGTTTCCACTTCAAAGCAACACCAGAGCAGGGTTGTTTTGGGGCAAATGTCAAGATGGCATGCTATCGCAAAGCCTACCCGACCCACTTCAAAGGACATGATCAGGCTACAAATCCACAACTGAACCAAGCCACAACTGCCCTCTGACTGAGTTGTGGCCCTCGTTTGCCCTCTGAGTTGTGCCACAATCGCCCTTCAAACGGCCAATGAAGGGCCCGATCGCCGATGGAAATCCCTTCTCACCGCCGTGTCCATCGGACAGGACCGTGGTAGGACAGCGGGTCCCCGCCCGTGGCCCGTGGCGATCAGGAGAGTGACCACCAAAGCGTGATGAAGAACACCGGTTCAGAGCATCCCCGAGAAAAAGGATCCAGAACGCAAAAGAAGGTCTACCATTTATTTGGGGAGGGGGTTAGACCGAGAAGAGGTAGCTAGTAGCTAGAGGTTGCTAGTAAGGGAAAAGCTAGTAGCTTAAATAGCTACTACTACTTAGGACGCAGGATAGCTCATGCTTCTTCAAGGAAGCTCCCCCCGCCGCCCTAAAGGCGGCGGGGAAAGCTTCCTTAAGAAGCGCTGGCACTAATGATTTGGTTCCTAGATCTTTAGAGAAACTGAATTAACTTATAAACTACAAATTAGCTATGGAAACTATTGGATGCTATTGGCTCTTCCATCCTGCCAGTCGCGGCAAGCAGTACCAAGTTACATCGACATGTCCACATTGGGCCGCCAGCATTAAGGGCCTCGGGAGAGGTTCGGGAGTGGCTGAACCGAAGCGACTACTGCACTACACGATGTCATTGCGGGTTTAAAAGCGCTGGTGCAGAGGGGTATTCAGTCAAACACCTGCAGCAGTGGTGGCTGCACTTAACCCTCGAAAGCCGCTAAATTCCAGCAGCATGTCTTTGGTGCAAGTGGTACGGAGGAGATGTGGCGATAATTGTCTTGCGTTTCCTGAGAGACTGTTTTCCTTTGACAAAGTGGACCGTTCGTTTTCCCGACAGTCAAGCTAAATGAACATATGTGTAAATATGTAATAATATATTATACACAAATGGTGAGATGCTCCTGATTTTGGGCAGTGCAGAACCCATCTCTGGTCAGTGTGGACAAACACCTAGCCGAGTACACCCTTGGTACTGCTTGGTGGGAAAAGAATCTTGGGTGCCTAACCAGAGGAAGGGGTCTCTGACATGGCTGAGAAGTCTCACACAGCTCACAAATCCTCAGAGTCTCATAACACTTCTCACTTTGAGCTTGTCTTTCTGAAGGGTTTGGTTCAAGCAAGGTGCGACCGGGTGCGACGATAAGCAATCCCTTCTGCCATATATGCTGAAGCCATCTACCCTCACTCCAAGAGTCATGGAAGTGGATGGCATGGCCCCTGGAAGCCCATTATTCTCTACAAACAGGGGGTGGTCCACTTCCATGTTTATTGGAGTTAGGACCACTCATCTGCACCGGCAACTCATCTGCAGGTCTTTCAACGTCGACGAGTCGCGGCTCGACAACGCAAGGAGACTGGTCTCACGGCGATATCTTGCCTGAGTACCATGCTCCCAGGGATCTTTGATCTGATCCGACTGACTGCGAACTTTCTCGCCACGAACTCCCGTTCATCGTCTGAGCCTGTACAGAGTGCTTTCGAGGGGTCTATCAGGTGTGGATGGTGTTCCCACTCACTGTCCATGCTCAGGGTCCAAGTCAGTTCACTCATGCAGGTATACAAAACCAAACATTGTCTGAGGGTCCAGTCGCCCCCTTGAGGAGCTTTTGGACTCTCTTCAAACTCGCAAACGGACAACTGGAAGACAGCCCAAAGGCTCTCACTGTGCAGCTTCCTCCGCAACATGAGTTTGATACGTCTCTGAAGCGCTTCTGGTCCTGCACTATCTGCACATGTGTAGTTTGCTCGTTGTATATGCTCTATGTTTCAATATAACCTGGCGAATATCTGCTCGTTTGCTAGCCATCCAAAGAGGTGAAAACAAATCCGTTCTGTTCATACAGGATCCTGGGTGATGCATTGCAATAGTAGTCATATCAGTGCAATTGCTGGATGTCCGACCTGGCCTTGATTCTGGCACCATACCAATATACTTGTAAAAAGGTTGGTCATTGCTTCACTCATGTCGCTGAAACTGCAAGCACAATCACTGTACTGTTCGCGAAAAGTCTTGACATTCTGGTCAAGAGCAAACATGGAACTCCTACCACAAAGGTCGGAGATATCTCCAGATATACTAGGAGCAAGAAGCTACGAACGGGGCTCCTGGCGATTGAGAAATGGAGTACCCACACGCCCCACGATCGGGGAGTACGGACACGGTCGCTGGAACTCGGAGCCGCAGCTTGGGTGCGAAATGGTCTCAACCGGTGGGCAACGCAGCACTGTGCACGTTTCAGTGATGCAAAACACCTGCTACCTGCGAAGGCCACCTGCTACCCAGGTATCAAATCCCAAAGCACAATGCAAACCAATCACAAATCCCATGGTCCACACAAAGCCCACGCAGCAAATGCGGTCTTTCAACCGGCTCCCTATCTGCGCGATGTCCTGCCAAGTTCACACCCGTAAAGGCGAAGCGTTGAAATTCCCGGAGCTCCGGGCCCAAAGACGAGCGCTGAAAAGTGATCTGCTTTTTCACCAGAAGGATCATAGGCCATCGCTCTTATGTTGGAGACCATAGCTAGTAGGTTGGAGGCCATCGCTCTTAGAAGTAGAAAAGAAGTGGATGTTGGGATTCCAAGGGCTCGATCTCCTTGAGCACAGGTTTCTGGGATGGAAGCAATTGATCAGGTCATGAGTCATGACTAACTAAATAGGTCCTAGGATCGGTCGAATATCTAGGAATCTAGGAGAATCTATATAGGTGAATCAAAAAAGGCCAGCAACATGCTCCACGGCTGCCATGTGCGGCTGCCATGTGCGGCTGCCTTCCATTTTCAGCGATGTCTACACAACCGGACCTCTCGAAACTTCGCGGGGTGCTTAAAACGCATTGAGGTGGCAGGTCGCAGGAAGAGGTGGAAGAACAATCCAACAGCAGTAAAGTAGTGGTGCAGTGGGCCATTTCTCCCAAAAGCCTCCCCCCAGTACCCCCAGAGGGTACCTCCAGTTAAAGACATGAATTACAACCAGAAGATCTGGCCGGGAGCTGTATCAGACGGACCTTCACACTTCTTGCTCGGCTGATGGGTGCCAAGAAAACCGCGAGGACTTGCTGACAACCTCAGGACTCCGCCGGCCGGTCAGCCTCCCGACACACAAAACAGTTGTACTATGTGTTGTACTTACAACTGGTTGCTCCTGGCCGATTGAAGGTGAAGATACATGAAGTCCCCAATCCTGCAAGTTCAGATCGTGTCGTTTGGTACATTCCAGAGGTCGATTGGCTTCCTGAGAAATGATGTTTGATTTTAAATGTGATGGTTCCTTCACTGGTGCAGTCCATTCTGAAATACATGTTGCACAATGTTGCACATGATCTGAGAGTTATATTTAGACCCTTTTGACTTGTCTCCAGGTTTCTCCCCGAACAGGATCGGCCAGATCCGCGCCTTTGAGCCAACACAGTGACAACTAGCGAAACAGAACTGCCTTTGGCCCAACCAAAGAGGTAAAAGGCAAAAATCACTCCGTGCATTTTAAGAGATTTGTCTCCCACCCACCCGCACAAAGGAGCATTTGGGCAAACCCCCCAGTCAGCCCAGTCAGGTCTTGCAGACTCTTCACTACTCTTTGTTTGACATCCTGGCAGTCTACAAGCCATCCTCACTCCACCTCACCTTCACAACGCCATGTCGTTCTTTCTGCCCAAGCGACTGCACCAAGGTCCCGCGGTTCGACTTCTTGGCCTCGGCCTCTCCCTCGTCCTGCCCTGAGGTCGGCGCTGGCAAACCCGGAGGTGGTCGAAAGCTAAGCTGCAGGGAGGTCTCCAGACGCAAAACCAGCGAGGTCACGTCCTGAGCAGGTCGACGCGGGGGGGTCGCTCGGACGGCGCCGCGAAGAATCGGGATGGGCCAGGTCACGGCTTTTGGAAGGGGTGGAGGTCGCGATGGACAACCTGTTTGAAGGGAGAAGTGAAGTGCGCCCATCTGGCCCATCTGAGCTCACTTTTGGATCCACTTAGGCCTTCGAAGTCACGTTAGTGCTTTGGAGTGTTTTCCAGAACCTCCGAACGCTTCGGGTGAATGATCTAATCTGGAACACAGACCATGACATGTCAATGATTTGCTTTCATGCATTATGAGGAGCATGTTGCCATGGTCGTGGGCTTTGTGGTTTTGGATTTTGCTTGTGGGTCCTCGGGTTTGGGATTGCTAATGCTTTCAAGGAGTTCGGTCTCCAGTTGGCATCCAAAAGTGCTACCCTGTCGCCAGGGTCTCCAGTTGGTTGTCTGTTTGTGGCTGTGTGTTTCTGACTGTGTGATTGTGTGTTTGTGGTTGTGGTTGTGGCTGTTTATTTGTGATTGTGCTTGTGTGTTGTGGTCATGTTGTGCGGTTGTGTGTTATTTGTTGAGGTCCGGTAGTGTCCACTGTGATCTGGCACTTGCGGTTGAGGTCCGGCGGGGAACACTGCCAAGTGGAACTCGCAGTTGAAGTCTGGGGGGGAACACTGCCAGCCGAAGCTGTAGGAGCAGGCGGAGGAGAAGAAGGAGAAGGAGAAGGAGGAAGGCAGCTGACATAAAATCTAAAAACATCTAAAGACCTTCACCTGACAGGTGGGGAATTAACCATCCAATGAATGGAGGATGATTGCGGTATTTAGATGGTTGCTCTGCAATGCAACGAAGCAACTGGAGTTTGCAGGTGGCCGGGCCCATTGTTTCAGCCACTTCAATGCAGGAGAGTTCGCACCCCGAAGGAAGTTCATCGACCAAATGCTCTGTCTAAGTCCGTTTCTCCAATGAGTCCGTTAGAACATGTCGAGGGGAACCACTGGAATCACTCCTTTCTTGCAAGGTTCGGACATGCCCGCATCTGGTTGGGCCGCAGCGAGCTTCATCTCTTCCATGGGCAACTTGGTGCCCTTGCCATCAGCATCCAGGACTCGTAGGTGGTTTCTCCCGTGAGCAAAAGTGCAAGCGGCTCCCCTTCGGCAATGACCCTTGGACATGAACTGGTAGCATAGTTCTGTCGACACCTAAACGGCCAAGAGGTCCTTCGTGAGCAAATCCACTGGGTTGAGGGGAGATCTGGAACAATGATGCAAAACATCTGTCATCCTCTATCATGGGATGCTTACGGATGCTTATGGTGTGTTACAAATTTGTGCCCAGCACCTGTTTTCTGTCAATGGTGGAAAAAAAACGCACCGTCAGCCGTACGCTGATGGATCTGCCGAACCAATGACTGGCCTTCCAGGTGAATCAAATAGTCAACCAAAAGGTTACGAGTTTATAAACTACTGTTTGATGCTAGTTGACCAGATAAGATCGCCTGAAGACATTCAAATTGAACCGTTGGCTGAAGGAAGGTTAATTCAATTGCAGCGACCACCCTTTTCCCGGTCACGACACCAAATCAGGTCGCTCTTGAACGTCTGTTGAGTGTGCGAAGTTACAAGCATTGCCTCGGTGGACGACTGTGCGGTGGACAGTTAGTAGAGGCGGCTCTTGTGGCTCCGCCGTCGAGACAGTAGAGCTGGTCGTTTTGGGCTGTCAGAAGTTCACTGTGGTTGTTCTGGGAATCTAAATCAAAAAATCATTTTTGTTAAATAGCTTCTTGTTACTAGTAAGAA